CTCCTCCTGCCCTCAATCTTTCCCAGCATCAGGGTCCTTTTCAGTGGGTCAGTTCTTCTCATCAGGTGGCCAAAGTATTGAAGCTTCAGCTTCAGCAACAGTCCTTCCAGTGAATAATCAGCATTGATTTCCTTTAAGATTAATTTGATCTCCTTGCAGTCCACAGGACTCTCAAGAGTGAGTCTTCTCCAACACCACAGTTCGAAAGCATCAATTCTTCGGCACTCAGCCTGCTTTATGGTCCAATTCTCACATCCATACATGACTCCTGGAAAAACCATAGTGTTGACTAGACGGACCTTTGTTGGCAAAGTGATGTCTCTGTTTTTTAATGCACTATCTAGGTTTGTCATAGCATTTATTAGAATTAATTAACTTGGACAAACTGGGAGTTCAAGAGAGTTCAGGAGTTCATTCCTACTTCATGCTAGCAACTGGGTCTCCTTACATAACTCAGTTTCCTCATCAAAAAAGCAGGAGCATTGGATGAGAAAAATATCTACAGCCTTTTCAGTCTAAAGCAAAGATCCTTATGTATGTTTGTGTGTGGAGGCCTCGGGGGCCTGCATCTTTTCTGCCCAGGCTCTCAAGTTCCATAACACACACGATGTGTTAGAGTTAGAAAACAACCCTGAGATCACCTAGCAGGAACTTTTCAAGCATTTTTATGATGTCTGTGACATATTTATATATACTTTTATGATATTTGTGAGATACATCAGTATTTAATGTCTTCAAATATGTCTTAGGCATTGGTTGTTCAGTCACTAAGTCATGTCCAACTCTTTGTGACCCCATGGACTGCAACCTGCCAGGCTCCTCTGTCCATGGGATTTTCCAGGCAAGAATGCTGGAGTGGGGTGCCATTTCCTTCTCCAGGGGATCTTCTCGACCCAGAGATCAAACCCTGGTCTCTTACATTGGCAGGCGGACTCTTTACCACTAGTGCCACCTGGGAAGCCCATAAATACATATACATACACAGGAAGACCTATTCTTCTTGATAACCTGGAATATTTTCCCCTGTATTTCCCTTAAAAGGGCCAGAGGACAGATCTGACCTGTCTGAATGATGTAATTAAAGTATCTTCTCCCCCAACCCTAACTCAACCAGATTAAGTCAACTATTTTTTTTTTTTTTAGATTTGTTTGTTTATGTGTTTTTGACTGTGGCATGTCTTCATAGCTTTATATACACATAGGAAAATGCCTCTTAAACCCTGCTAAAACCCAGCAGGAAATTTAAACCCATATGCCGTGTGGCACACTGCAGGTTTCATTTTACTGGTCACTTCACTGCGCCTTCATCTTTCATTTCCCTGCGGGTGTACGTGATGAGGCAAAGTTGGTAATCACCCAGACAGACTTTAGGTGCACAGTATTATTCCAACAAACCCAGTAAATGACATCCACAGTAAAGAGCAGGGAAACAAAGAGATTACAGGGTTTCATTCCCACCCGACATTCTCAAGAGAACAGAGCTCAAGGCAATCTGTGAGTATTTATATACTCCCTGATCTGTACAGAGAAAGTTCACAGGAAGCAGTTAAAGACACAGCAGCTAAATCCAGCATTTCACTGGATTTTTTTTTTTTTTTGGATTCTTGCAGCTTTACACAGTTAAAAGCCAGGTGGAAACTACATTGCTGTTAGCTTTAATGTTGATATTAATAGTCGTGGGGTTTTAAGGTAGCTCTCCCACCACGTGTGCCTTGACAAAGGAAACCTTCCTGTTGGAACCACATGGCTTACCTGGTTGAACACAGGGGGGCAGGCACTGCTCACTGCCATGTAAGCACTTAGAGTCCCTGCTGTGTGCGGCCTCCCCCAGGACCATTTGGAGTAGGAAGCATCCCAGGGAGACACTCTGCCCTGTTGTTAAAATGGAGGCCAAGAATTCTGTGACATGCCTGCAGCAGGACCACCCATCCACACATCGGCCTTAGTGGGGTATAACCTGGTGCTGCTTCATACTCTAAAGAAAGGACAAGCTAGACAGGCTGCCATCTGGCACAGTGGGGAAACTTCTGCCTGCGGGTCATCTGCTGATGGACTTGCCCCATTTCAGCTATCCTGCTCAGGTCCCATGCTACCGTGTGAAGGAAGCTTACCCACTCTCCTCCAGTGGAAGTCAGTTCAGTTATACTGTTTGTCCCTCATCACTTCCTGCCTTGCCTCACAACCAGCTTACATCTCTTTCTCTCCTGCTAGTTTGTATGTTCCTGGAGGGAAGGTTCTAAGAGTCATACTTTTTGTATTTCCCATATTGTGAAGTGAAGTCGCTCAGTCATGTCCAACTCTTTGCGACCCCATGGACTGTAGCCCACCAGGCTCCTCCATCTGTGGGATTTTCCAGGCAAGAGTACTGGAGTGCGTTGCCATTTCCTTCTTCAGGAGCTCTTCCCAACCCTGGGTCTCCCGCATTGCAGACAGATGCTTTACCATCTGAGCCACCAGGGAAACTCCAATAATAATAATAATAACCAAATAGTGTTTATTGAACACTTATTATATACCAGGTACATTACTGTCATATCATTTAATTATTACAACTTTGTAGTGTGATGATAAAAAACAGAGCTTTGGAGCCAGACCACCTGTATCCAAAGCCTCCCACCTCTACCATCAGCCCCAAGACCTTGAGACAGATAGGATTCTGACTGGGTCTTCTGACTTACGGTGTCAACTCCATCCTGCCTCCATAGATATCATTTCATTGACTAAGACCCATTCTCTCATAACCAAATTTATTATTTCTCCTTACCACTGAACAACCCCACGGTTACCCCCACTAACTTTAACTTAATATGTGTATGTTTTTAGACATATAATCCCTAGTGATTTAGCTAATCATACCAATGATATTCATTCTTTACATCTCTTAGTGTGTTGCCGTTTTTACAGCCCCTTCATCTGAATCATCTCTGTTGATCTTCACCCCATCCTTGTTGTGGGCAGAGCATTGTCATCCTCCTCGTTTTATTGATGAGTACGCTGAGGCTGGAGAAGCTGAATATCCAGCCTCTTAACTCACAGCCAAAGAGTAGGCAGAGCTACAACTTGACCTCAGACCTTCTAAACCCATCCAAGGTCAGCCTCTAGCTTGGCCAGCCCCTCAGCATCACTCCCCTGTGGAAACAAATGCTTGCAGGCACCAGGAAGCAGGTGCTGTGCTAGAGCCTTCGGTGGTTCACCTTGTCTGGTAACCATAGCAATGGTCGGTCTCCTCGTGGCAAATGAGATCACCCAGCTCACACCAGTGCTTAGGATGTGAGTTACTAGAGACAAGGCATTTTCCACAGAGGGCCATTAAGTTTGGAATTCCCTTCCCCTGATCTGACACAGCCCTGGAGTATTGGCCTTCTGGGTCTTTGCCAACCACATCAAGTTGAGTTAGCCAGCTGTGATAGGTAAGAAATCTGAACGAGCAGGAGGAAAGTGCTCAGTGGACTTTGAGTTGTGAGCAATTTGTAATTTTGTGTTTTTTGCTGTTTGTGTGCCCTAGGATAACTAACTGACCATATATAATTCTTGTTCTTTAAAAACAAAATTTTAGTCTGCGGTTTGCGTGAATTTGTTTCTGTGTTCTTACATCATGTCGCAAATGATGTGATGGAGAAACCTATAGGGAAGTTTTTGTTTCTTTTGCATAAACTATTTTGCAGTAATTGACCAGCCATAGAGAAAAGATTATCTCCTGTGCACCCTCAGTGAGTTCCCTGGTCACCAGAGACCAATAAGCTGTGTCCCTGGAACTATTATCACTTTGTTGAAGAAGCTGCTATGTGAACAAAAACCAGCCTTCATTAATTTCCCTTTTCGTATTTAAAAAACCTTGTCAGTATTTTCCCTTTGGGAAAGTATAATTTTTCAATAGTGCATATTATTTTAGTTCTAAAAAGGAAAGATGTAGGGTAGTAGATCCTTATTAACATCTCTTCTTTATCTTCATGCCAGATCTTAATGTTCCCAGTCAATGAAATAAAATGTTCCACATTTTTAATTACATTACGTGTATATATATCTTAATTTTCATTTCATAGAAACTAAAAGTTTAGAAAGGTAGAACTCTTAAGACAGTTTAAATTCCATGCCACTCCCCCAACACAAACACACTGTTTGACTGATGGGGGAACTGGTGCACTGGTTGTCTGGACCCCACATAGCAGTCAGTAACAGAATCAGCTCAGTCTGGTGCTCTTTCCATTGTACCCTGACGTGTGTGTCTCTGTTTGAGCTCTTGATTGCTTTGTAAGCTTGAAAGCTGGGGTGATCCTTACGTGTCCCAGTTGGAGCTGTTTGATGAATACTCGCTAGCTAATGTATCAGACTTCATTTTAGTGTTACAAGAGCCTCAGATGTTATACCTCCTTTTCATTATCTGTTCTCTTTTTCATTCAACCTCTTCTGTGGTTAGAAAAAGTTGGGGAATGGTCAAGTGATATATGATAGAATGGGATTTGAACACTTGACCATTGTTGCTTCTAAACATCTGTATTTTTTTCTTGAGGTGTTATTGACCTGCAACACTCTATTAGTTGCAGGTGTACAACATAATGATTTGATACCTGTATGAATTTCAAAATGGTCACCAAAATAAGTCTACTTAGCATCATCCATCCCCATTCATAGTTATAATATTTTTCCTTGTGATGAGAACTTATCTATACTGGAGTTGAAAGTTATTTTAAGGAATAGTCTCAAGGATTTAAAGTTATTTATTAAGTGGTTTAAATTATCTCACACATAGTAACCAGACTCCTATTATACACTGTTCTTTTATCTTAAAAAATGTACATATTATTTCCTGGAAAGTGAAAGGACCTTAGAGTTCATCTTCAAAATAAGAGAATAAACATCATAAGCCATCCTCTTAGGTGTCAGTTTGTACATTTTGGGTTTTTGTGCCATGGGAAAAGTTGGTCCAGGAATTGTTTGCCCTGTTATGCATTTGTGTGCACAGTCCTATCCTAAATACTCAACCATAAACTGTATTCTAGTTTGTTTCAGTGCTGGAAGGGGTGTTGTCTAAGCTCTCAAGATATGATGAAGGCACTTTCTTCTCATCCATCCTGTCATTCACTGTAAGTATTTTGAATGAGTTCTCCTCTCTCTTTTGACTGCTGTCATAGTACTTATCAGTTAAGAAAGTAATTCTCATAATTATCTCTTTTCCACTTAAGGTGAAAGCAGCTGCAAAATATGTTGATGTTCCAGTAAGTATTTTTTATTTGCTTTTAAAAACTATATATAATTCTTCTAAAAATGTATTTATGGTTCACCATGGGTTTATTTCAAATCTTTAAACCAGTGTGATTCCCTCAGGGAGCAGTTTATTTTTCTTAAGTGAGGACTAGCTCTCATAGCAAAACCTGACAAGGTTATTTCAGTGTACTTTTTCTGTTGCAACTTGGGGACTCTTGTGGAGGTCAGTTCATCATGAGAACATACCAGTTCGGGGGTAGCTCCAGGATCAGGGAGAAAATGCCTCACATTATTTATAGAAAAAAATTCACTCTCCTTCCCTTTCCATGAAGGCTCTGACAGGTGTCTTATAGGAGTTTAAGTAACAAACAAGAGGAACCAGTTAAATCAGAGGACTAGTTTTCTAAATACAGAAGTGTCATAAATAAATCAGTGTTGACTTACTTATCATTTGGTTTTCCACAGAACTCTTGGGAAATAATGCATAACCTGTAAATTTGTTCAAAAACTAAGGGAGGAAACTATGAAACTTACTTAGCTACAAGGAAAAAAAAATTTACGTGATAAATATAATCAACAAGTTAGTACAACATTTGTAAGTTGACAATCATTAACCAAGTTTTTGCCTTAAATTCCGTTATCACGTATATATGATCAAGGCCTCTGATAGTCTGTTGAATCATGTGTCTTGGCATGCATAGCAAAGAGTTAGAGCACAATGGAAAAAAAAAAACATAAAATTTAAAACTAAGTGGAATATAAGTCATCTCATCTTTAATTCAGGCTGTGCTTGAATAACGCTACCATCTCTAGGTCATTATTATAAATGTTAGCACTTTTAGTGCTGGCAAGCTTTGTATATCTGTTGTAGGTGGTTCTTATTTTTAAATTGCATGACTTCATTTTATACTATGGATTCGACAGTCCCCAGATTTACTGATGCTATAGTTATCAAAAATGAACATTTGAAATGAAAAGGCCATGGACTTTCCTATCTTTGCCTAGGGCTTCTTGGGAGTAGGTTTTGTTTGTTTTTAGTTTTACAAATAATTCCCAAAGAAGTTTTGGCATACTCTTTGTCTTGTATTAGAATCAGAAAATCAGTACTGGCAATAAGCAGAAATAATCACATGTGTGTGATCCTGCAAAGGAGCCTCTCGAAAGAGAGAGAGGGAGCAGTAAGGGGGAATAGTTTAGATTTGCTATCTGAAGAAGAAAAGGACAAGTCATCATGGGAACATATGGACTTTATTGTCCTTAATGAGTACTTTATAATATAGATTTTGTTTCTAATTTTGAATTATTAAATACAAGTGGAATGGAACACCACAATTATTTCTGTTCTTAGGGCTTTTGCAATTCTTAATTTGACTTGTTCTAGATCTGTTGGAGCCCATAGAGCTTCATCGTTGAAAGATACGGAAAGTGGTTCATTCATGCTCTTTCTCATGCAGAAGCCCCCTCTCCTGATAGCCCTCAAAAAGATTCAGTCAAGCTCTTTTAATTTTTTCAGTGATTGTAGGCCATAAGGCAGCTTCCTCTTATGTGTAATGAGTTGAAATTCTGTACCTCTGTGATTTCTATCTTGGTTCTAATTCCTTTTATGCATGATAGCCCTTCAGATATTTGGTGATAATTATCATGTATCCTCTTCCCAAGAGATATGATGGCTATTCAGAAGGATTTGTTGTCTAAGGAATTCTTATTTTCTACATTAAACATCCTCAACTTTTTCACTAAATGCGTTGAATAAGTCTTATTTAATAATCACTAAGTGCTAGACTCTGGGCTACAATGAAAATATATATGTCCTGCCTGCAAGCTGTTCAGTGTCTAGGAATAAAAGAGATAGAGAAATAGTTCAGTTCAGTTGCTCAGTTGTGTCTGACTCTTTGCGACCCCATGATCTGCAACACACCAGGCTTCCCTGTCCATCACCAGCTCCCAGAGCTTACTCAAACCCATGTCCATCGAGTCGGTGATGCCATCCAACCATCTCATCCTCTGTCATCCCTTTCTCCTCCTGCCTTCAATCTTGCCCAGCATCAGGGTCTTTTTCAATGAGTCAGCTCTTAGTTCCAAATGACTCAGTTTCATGATAGACATATCAATTGTCTATGATAGCAAAAAAAAAAAATCATGATAGCACAATAGCAATTGTGCTCAGACTCTTTACCATACCAATCACTCTCTAATGAATTCCAGCTTACTAATGTCACTACTATATCAAGTTGCCACACACAGCAAAGCATACTAAACCATAGATGTGGTGTGACCATGGTAGATTGCTAGAGTTTCTCCCTTAGATCTGGAAGTAAAATTTTATTTCAAAAATTATGAGATGCTGTTGGCTGTTACTATTTTTTTAATACTAAAACTCCAGCAAGATACCTCTCTGAAGCAATCTTTTACAGAGAATTTTATGAGAAAAGAGAACAGTGGCTTACCTTTCACAAAAATTAACTCACAACTGATTTAAAAACCTACTTGTGAAATGCAAACTATAAAACTTCTAGAAGAAAACATAAGAGAAAATACTACCTTAAGTTTAGATACAAACCCCAAAACATCCATGAAAGAGAAACATTGTAAGTTGGAATTAATAGGTGGCTCAGGTGGTAAAGAATCTGCCTGCAAGGCGAGAGACCTGGGATGGGAAGGCCCCCTGGAGGAGGGCATGCCAGCACACTCCGGTATTCCTGCCTGGAGAATCCCCATCGACTGAGGAGCCTGGCGGGCTTCAGTCCACGGGGGTCACAGAGAATCATGCAACTAAGCCACTAAGCACACACAGCACTCTGCACTTTTAAGGAAGTAAAAGGACAAGCTACACACATATTTGCTCAAGGACTTTGTCCAAAATGTACAAACAACTCTTAACACTCAAGGATAAGAAAACAAACAGCACAGTTAAAAAATGGTCAAAAGATCAGAACAGATACTACAGTGAAGACATATAGATATCAAATAGTCACATGAAAAGGTGCTCAGTATCATTTGTCATTGGGGAAATAAAAATTAAAACAATGAGACACTATTACACACCTATTGGTATGGTTAAAATTTAACAGTTAATAGCAAAATGTTGACAAAGCTCCAGTGCAAGAGGGATTCTCATTCATTGCTGGTGGAAATGCAAAATTGTACAGCCACTTTGGGAGACTATTTGGCAGTTTCTTACAAACCTAAATACAGGCTTTAGCAACCCACTGATTACACTCCTAGGTATTTATTCAACTGATCTGAAAACATATGTCCACAATGAAACCTGCAAAAATGTTCATAGCAACTTTATTCATAATCACCAAAAATTGAAAGCAACCAAAACGTCTTTCAGTCCAACCTATGGATAAACAAGAAGTGGTATATCCATACAATTAAGTGGTATTCCTAACGCAAAAGAGAAGAAGGAATTCATGTTCCTGGAACATACTTGATTATCAGGTATACCTTATAATTATAGCATAACTAAAGATGTATAAGTGTCAATAACAGAAAATGATTCAAATATATTCAAATTATATATTCATTTAAATATAGCATGTTATGAACATAGTCTTATGTATCTTTGCACTTTCATGATACTTCTTTATAAAAGAAAACATATCATACATAAGAGAAAAGTCATCAATATGTTCCTGAACAAAAGAAACTTTGTTATCTCATGCTTCTTAGCGAAGAAGCTGGTAGGGCCTCCCATGATGTCTTCCTAGTCAAGGCGATAAAGAGTGACCTTCAGACGGTTTGATAGATTTTTTTCTTGATTAAATGGGCCTCATCTGGAGACAAGGGGTTTCCCTCATAGCTCAGTCGGTAAAGAATCTTCCTTCAATGCAGGAGACCCGAGTTTGATTCCTGGGTGGGGAAGATCCTCTGGAGAAGGAAATAGCAACCCACTCCAGTATTCTCGCTTGGAGAACCCCATGGACAGAGGAGCCTGGCAGGCTACAGTCCATGGGATCGCAAGAGTCGGACACGACTCAGCGACTAAACCACCCAACCACCAATCTGGAGACAAGTTCCTGTCATAGTTACACAATTTAAGGCTCCATCATAGAACCTTGGTGTGTTCATGGTGGCAAAAACCTCAGACATTAAAGAAAAGCAAGACCTGGAGAGAATGAGTCTGTTCATCCTGTCTAACAGTAACTTAGCTGAAGGGAACTCAGTCCTGAGATATGGGGAGGGAAAACAGCTGTAGTAGATATAGGGCCAGCATGAAAACATTCACCTTAGCTTCACAGATGGGAACACCAGGCCCAAACCAAAAATTCAGTAAAGTAGTATATTAGTGTTGTGTTCGTTTCTTGCTGTCCAGCAAAGTGAATCAGCTATATGTATACCTATCTCCCCTCTTTTTTATATTTCCTTCCCCTTTAGGTCACCACAGGAGAAGGAAATGGCAACCCACTCCAGTACTCTTGCCTGGAAAATCCCATGGACGGAGGAGACTAGTAGGCTACAGTCCATGGGGTCGCAGAGTCGGACATGACTGAGCGACTTCCCTTTAGGTCACCACAGAGCATTGGGTAGAGTTCCCTGTGCTATACAGTAGGTTAGCATTAGTTGGGTTTTCCTGATAGCTCAGTTGGTAAAGAATCTGCCTGCAATGCAGGCTACCCCTTTTCAGTTCCTGGGTCAGGAAGATCCCCTGAAGAAGGGATAGGCCAGCCACTCCAGTATTCTTGAGCACCCCTCCTGGCTCAGCTGGTAAAGAATCTACCTGCAGTGGGGAGACCTGGGTTCAGTCCCTGGATTGGAAAGATCCCCTGGAGAAGGAGTTAGCTCTTTTATACACAATAGTATAAATATGTCAATCCCACTCTCCCAATTCATCCCACCCCTCCTATCCACCCCCCCTTGGTGTCCATAACATTTATTCTCTACCTCTGTGTCCTTACTATGCCAATAAAATTTTTTTAATTAAAAAAAAATTTAGGTAGTATATTAAAACTAACCCCCCCAAAAGACATATTGCCTCCCTATAAGGTTGGGAAGATGTAGCTGATAG